AAACTACCCACCTTGCTCACAAGCTACTATTAAACAAAGGAGGAAATTTGGCCATGTCCTAAGGATAGCCCTTTGCACTTGGGTGGCTCTTTGTGGTGGTGGAGATAATGATGATGACTTCCCATCATGCTGTGCATCACTATTTGCCGTATGGAAGTCTGTTTCTGCAAGCTGGGGCAGGAAAGGTGAGTCCTTAATCACAATAGCATTCTGTTTCTAACATAATGATAGGTTGGGAATATAATTGCAGTTATAGTTCACAATGCCATTAAATGTATTTCAGGATCCATGGCCTGATTAGAGTAGCTGAAGCTATGCTGGTGATAACTTAAAAATTGTTTTCATGGAGATCAGTGATATGAACACCAACAAGGGCATTATAAATTCAGAACTGATACTAGTGATATTTCTGAAAGATGTACTTTTCTCTATTTTGGCTTATAGGATGCAAATTCCAGTTCCTGACATGGCAGGAAGGTAGGTGGGATGAAGGCTGGCACAATGGTTGTTGTTAAGGATTTTGTTCTTGGTTTTTTTGTCCTTTGTAAGCCACCCAGAGACTTTTTAGTAATGGGACAGCTTAGAAAAACTTTGAATGAATGAATGAATGAATGAATGAATGAATGAATGAATGAATGAATGCCTAGAAACATGCACAGTACCTGGGGCTGGAACAAAACCCCTGTAAGGAAAGCTTACAACACCTGGGTCTCTCTAGTTAAGGAAAAAGGCAGGGAGGGAAGAACACGTTAGAGGCGCCCAAAATGATACAAGTTGTGGAGAAAGTGGATAGGGAAACATTTTGCTCCCTTTCTCAAAATGCTAGAAACCAGACTCATCCCATGAAGCTGACTGGTGGGAGATTCGGGACTGATAAAAAGAAAGTACTCCTTCACACAGAGCATAGTTAAACTATGGAATTGACTTCCACAAGAAGTAGTTGATGGTCCCCAATCTGGACAGTGTTCAAAGGGCTTTGGACAAAGCCATAGAGGAGAAAGCTTTCGGGCTGCAAGTCCTGAGGACTCCATGCAACTTCTGGTATCAGAGCCACTATGGCTGTGCACACCAGGTTCTGGGGAGCAGGAGGCTGCTGCAGCACTCCTGTCCTGCTCTGGTTTTGCTGGGGAGAGCTGGTGGCCCACTGTGTGACCAGAATGCTGGGCTAGATAAGCCTCTGCTTTGATGCAGCCTGGCTCTTCTGCAACTCCCAGGCAAAACGCTGGGCTCCAGTCATCCCCTTTGATGAGGTGATGCGCTAGAAGGGAGAAGAGAGAAGCACACAGGTATCTCAACCAGATATTTCTTACCGGTATCACTCTTCCCATTCCCAACTTGAATTATACCAGCCAGTATATCTTACTACAAATTGGATCCAGAGTGTAAACGTAGGATTATGCAACTATAAAAGGGCTTCAAGTCAGTGGGAGTAGGAAGAATGAACGAGGCTGCAAGATGAAGCAACGGCCCTGGGAAGGGGGGCTGGGTGCCACAGAAGACGAGGGTGGAGCATGGAAAGCGATGGAGGAAACCATTGTGGAGGGTTCATGAAACATGAGGGCAATACAAACCGAGGAGAGAATAGAACAGCTGTGGGAATTGTGGAGGAAGAGGAAGAATGCCCCAGTCCTTTGGTCAATGCTTAGGAACCATTGATCTAAACCACTGCAGCAGTGCATTTAAGAAAGGAGGCACTGTGTAATTCAGGATATTTTGATGGACTTGAGATTTTAAAAGACTCCATGGAAAGAATTATATGCAAAAAGAAAAGGCAACTTGCCAAAACAAGATAAAGAGCTCACTTCCTCCCAGTCTGGAATTATTATTTTTTTCTCCAGCTCATTGTGAGTGTACAATGCAGATGTTATAGTCATATATAGAAAAACAGAGGGCTGGAGAGAACTGTATGAAAGGCTGTAGTACACAATAGATGGTATTCATTTAAAAGAAACTTTGTTGGCTAAAGCCACTTAGAATATCAACATGTCTTCAGTATTTACTGGATCAGATTTAATCATTAAATGGGGTATGCCACTGGATGATTAATAAATTATATATGCTATTGGTTGGAGACAGTGTATTTTTCAGTGTTTGCGTTTGACTAAAGACCTCAAGTTGTTTTGGTTTAATCAAACTTGCTGCTGATTCACATTCAGAAAATTGAAACACACCCCTGTGCAAAACGTGGCAAAAATGAATGATCTCTTCAATTTTGAAGAATGATCTTTTCAGTTCTGCAGAATATGCCATCCAATTTCTGGAAATCAGTTTTCTCCACATCCTTATTTATGAAAGTTGCCTCCTACACAGAGACACCCGTGTGTGAGGTTCAGTGAAGGTGTGTTGAACACAGTCCCCCAACTGTTGGGTCTAGGAGGACCTTGGTTCTCTGAAAATAAAAATGCAGATATTCAGATTTTTTCTCATTAGCATTGCAAACAAGCTCCTAGAGACCCAGAAGATGGGTTAGGTTTTCTATACATTTTGCAGTAATGAGAAGTAGCTTATGTGCCTGTCTGCACATGAGCCTTATTTTTTGATACATACTTCCATCCACATTTCTTTGGGGAAGGAAGGGTCTAATTGATCACGAGTGCCACCTTTTGCTTGTGAGAGTCTTCTGTATAAGAGAGTCTGTGCCTGCTTCCAGATGGAGGTGTCCTAGGACTAGCCAGTACAATGCATTGTGCATCTCATTGTTTTTTCTTCCTTGATGGAAGGAAAAAAGACAGAGGCAGCACTGGGAAAGCACGGCAGGGTCATGAGTGCAAGGCACCATGGAGGAGTCAAGGAAATGGCATGATATAAGCCCTAGCTAGAACCATCCCATGGCTTTCTTTTCCTGAAGTGCCTTGCAGAAAGCAGACAGAAGGAGAATCACCACTGGCCCACCTTAAAGGGCAGGTGACGGAAAGGGGGTGTGAACCACATCCCCTCCTTTGGCCCACAGCTGTTTGCCTCATTCATAACATCTGTCCCTCCCTCAGTAGGACTGAGCACACAAGGAGAAGGCCCTGAAGGCTCCTGTAGGTGGGATGCCACTTCCACCTCCCGTGTAGATGGGAGTGATGGGGCAAAGAAGTGATGAAAGAAACAGGTAACCTTGAAACACACATGCAGTGAAAGAAAGAGCAAAACAAAGCAAGATAGGGCAGGCTAAATAGGGGAGGCAAGAGGCAAAAGCCAAAGGGAAGAAGCCAGGGGGGATCGGAAACAGAACCACAGGGACCAAGAGAATAAATGATGGAGATGGGCTAAGGAAAGGTAGGTGGGGCAGTACCAGCGTTGGTGGACGTTCCAGATTTTATTGATCGGGTTTTTAAATACTTTGCTATGAGCCACCTTGCAAATCCCATTAAATGGGAGAGAAAGGCAAGGTGAAAATCATGTGCAGTGCTACAATCCTATACCTGTCTACTCAGAAGAGTCCCATCCAGTTCTCTGGTATTTACAACCTAGTCAGCATGTATAAGATTGCCACCTTCATCAATAAATCAGGCAGTAAAAGAAGGCATTTGGGGCCTGCGCTGGCCCTCCCTCACACCCGTAACAGTTCTTTCACACGTTCCAGCTTTTGCTGGGCATTTTGCTAACTATTAGTGACCCATGGAAGCAGTTACCCTGGAGAGCTTAGCTTAGGAAGGGAGGAGTGCTGTGTGGAATGTTCATTTTAGCACTGGGCTATTTTTGCTTCTTGTACAGTAAAGAGAATGTAACTGATAAATTACAGGGAAACAGAACTAATTAGACAGGCCCTGTGCAATTCTGATTATCCTACTCTCTGTCATCCCTGACACAGCTCAAATACCTGTGCATATATTTTCACAGAACAAACAGTCCTCATTTTGCCAAAGGTATACGAAGCTGATTATTGCTAATCTGAAATGTGAATCTGTGGAATTCCGTAAACAGCCATGCCCAAGCAGAACTGCACTGTTGATAGAATCACAGAATAGTAGAGTTGACTGAGGCCAAGAAGACCATTGGGTCCAACCCCTGCTCAGTGCAGGTCTCCGTGTTGAACCATCCCTCTCAGATGGTTGTCCAGTTGCATCTAAAAAGCCTGCAGTGTGAGAGAACCCACAACCTCCCTAGGTAATTGGTTAGATTGTCATATTGCTCTAACTGGAAGTTCTTTTTGATGTTTAGCTGGAACCTGGCACTGTAATACGAGCCTTGTATTCTTGTGTCCTGCACTCTGAGATGATCAATTAGAGACCCTGGCCTTCCTTTTGTGACAGCATTTCAAGTACTGGAAGGGTGCTATCATATTTCTTCACAGTATTCTTTTCTTGAGGCTAAAGATGCTCACTTCTTTCAGTCTCTTCTCACAGAGTCCCTGGATTATCCCTGTTCCCTCCTCTGAACCCTTTTCAGCTTGTTTGTGTCTTTCTTAAATTGTGGTGGCCAAACATCTAGTACTCCAGATGAGCCTAACCAGTGCTGAGTGGAGGGGAACTAGTGCTTCACATGATTTGGAAGTGATACTTCGATTAATGCAGCCTAAAATAGAATTTGCCCCTTTTGCAGTCACATCACATCGCAGACTCCTATTCTGTTTCTGATCTAAAACAATTCTTCTCACTTGCAGTATTGTTCTGCCAAGTATCCCCTATCTTGTAATAGTGCATGGGAGAGGGGTGTTTTTGTTTTGTTTTCTTAAATTCAGTGTTGGATCTTGTAAAATTCTGCATGTGTGTTTCCAGATGCAATAGATTGAAATGGCCTTGACCAGATTCCAGAGAAACTTTTGGGGGAAAAATTCTTCTGGGGGATGTGTCCAAAACAGCAAAAATACCTGTCTGTTTTAGCATAAAACTCTGCCAGTAACTACAAAGCATTTCAGCCTTTTAGAATGTGAAAAATTGCATAAAAGCTGGGAAACTAACAAGCATTTGATGGCTGGGGGAAAGAGGAACTCTTGGAGGGCCTGATTTTTCCCTGAGCTTAAGTTCTACATTCTTGAGCAGACTGATTATCAGCTGTTCTTCTGTACTCAGGTGGATCTGCGAGCTACTGATGTCAAGCTAATGCGACAGCTACTGATCATCAACGAAAGCATTGAATCAATTAAGTGGATAATGGAAGAAAAAGGAGCCATTACCAGTAGGGGCAGCAGCTTGAGTGGAAGTCTCTGCAGTTTGCTGGAAAGTCAGGAGACCTCTTTGAGAGGCAGCTACAACAGCTTGCAAGACTGCAGTGACGGACTAGATGGAATATCTGTGGGGAGTTACCTGGACACTTTGGCCGATGACATCCCAGGCCAGCGCACTCCTTCGGACATGGACCAGCTCAGTGACTCTTCTTTCGTAGATGACCCTCAGTCCCTACATAAACATAACAAGATTGAGTCTGACGAGTACTACTGTTTTGGTTGATAAGATGAAACTTTAGAAGAGACACATGTGCACTTGTATTTATGATTCTTCTATGCTGCTATTTGTTTTAAGCATTTTTAAAGCACCTTTATAAAAGATAACCTATTTTAATTAAATCTGCTTAAGTCTATCTCTCTGCCATCACTCCTAGATTTCCCTTGCCCTCCGCTCCTGAGTGGTTTTCCTCATCTTTTCGTCGTCATAATTTATTGCTGTGATTTCTCTGTTCTCTTTTATAATACTATTTTTGATTCTTTTTTTAAAAAAAATAAAGGTGAGGGAAATTAACTTGATCTTCAATGCAAAGCGTGAAAATGAGGATTTACTGAATTTTACACTTGACTGACAATAAATCACTTTCTATTATCTACAGACTTAAGTATTCTTGACTAATAGCATTTTTGATTATTCTGATATTGTTGATTGCAATGATTAGCACTTTTACCTGGTTTCTCAGCCAGAAAAGGCTCTAGAGCATCTTATGTAGAATAATAACAGGACAACTCTGGCCCTCAGGTGTGCAGTCTAAAAACCTTAAACAAAAGGAAGCTTCTGAATCTGGAAGAGACTGAATAAAAACTATCAGCTGTTCCATAACTCTGCTGGGAAGTGTCTAGGAAAATATCCTAATACTGGGGATTCAGTGATTTAGGTGGCTTGGAGTCAGAGGGGAAGGTCACACACCTTCTACATAAATCTAACACACACATTCACAAAAGTCTTTTGCAAGAATGCCTTGCTGAGTTTTTACCAGCCCAGAATGAAGGACAGGGAAATCTAATATATCAAAGAGAAAGCTAAAACAGTATCATTTTCTGATATACTAGAAGGAATAGAACGGCATTCAAGAATTCATGTTTCTCATTAGCATTCCAAAAGCTATAAAGCATGCTTTTATTTTTAAAAATGTGTAAAACCTTTTAAATGTGTAGACTGGCTTATTGTCATCACTGTTGTCTCTTCCACCCAACGTGTCACTTTGTCCTGCTCAAAAATTCCTGGTGCCTTGACCCGCCCCAGCTGTGACAGAACTTTTAGTGAAGTTTTTGTGTTCCTATTCACCATTTCTGCTTCAGAGCCTCCAGATCTTAGGCAATGTAATTGACCTTCATTAAGTCTACATTTCTGAGCTTAGATGCATCCAGCTGAAACTTAAATTAGTTGACCCACCGTCTTAGACCCGGTGCAGGAGTTACTCACATGGAGAAGCAACATGAGTACAACTGGGTGGTAAGACCATGCCTGTAGCCATGCCCTCTTTGAGGTGTAACTTCCTCCATTCCCCACATGTTTAGGACGAGCATCTGCAGTGGGAACCCTTTTGACTCACATGTGCACACAGCGCAGTTTAGAACACTGGCTCTCCGGGCTTCTAAATCCTGCAGGTGTCTATATGAGGCTTACGATGCCACCGGCAAATCTCCCAAGAAGAGGAAATGCATCACCCAAAAGAGAGGACACTGACTTGCATGCCAACACATATGCTAATTTAGATGTGAAGCTACACATTTTTGTACAAATTTTACAAACATTGCAAAATGCTACTATTTAAATGGCAATGCAGCCCATCTCCCTGGACCATGGAAGCCTGTGACCCTGTGTGCCGGCCTGTCCAGACTGCTGCCCAGGTGCTAACGCTTGAAGGGAGACAGTCAGTGCTTCTGGCTCATTATATTAAAACAGGGCTTGGACTGGACTGCCTTGCCAATGCAGGATGCCTTCCACTGAGACAGCCCTCTGGCGGCTCTGCAAAAAAAAGCCTGCCCCTGTACCAGGGGCATCTGGCCATACCCTAGTCTCCCATCGTGGGCTTTCATCAATGCCCTAAGGAAACCAGCCGGATCCCATTGCTGGCTGTGGGGTGAGACTAAAGCACAGCCTCTTTGTTTTCACGTGGCTCCTTTGCGGGTAGAGCTCTTTAAGTATGTGAACATGCCATTTCCATTCTGTCACATGGTTTATTTGCTGGGTCATTTTCTAAACGGGACATTCCTGGGGGAAGGGGAAGAGTGCTGAACCAGCAAGGGCGTTGAACCTCTTTCACTCCCAGGGCTGCACTGCGAAAAGGGAGCAGCTAAAGTCCCCCAAATGCTAGCCACATTTAGCTTAGATCTGTTACTGACAGTGGCTGGGCCTTAGAAGAGACATTTTAGACCTTTCAGAAGGGACAAAAAGCTTAACAAGAGCTGGAACACTGCCAAATATTTGGTAGTCAGGGGAAAGGGGGACTGGAGGAAGGTGGTGTGGATATTGGGAGAACTCCATGGGGCTGGATTTGGGTCTGCAGCCTCAGCCTTCTGGTACAGCCCTCCAACATCCTGGGAAAAGTCAAGGCTGACCAACACCCTGAAAATGTGTACCACATCGCAACTTCTTTGTAGGCCCCCCATGTAATGTTTAGACATTAAGGCTTCATTTTTGTTTTAAGTCAGAATTGTCATGTTGCTTCCTTTTGTTTATTGTTCCCTGCTTGGGAATATTAGTGGATCTGGAGGGGTATAACAATCTTGTAAAGAAATATGTAATTCTATAGTGGAGAACTGTGTTTGGCCTCCGTCTCCAAGAAGACAGGGAAGCCCTGCATTTCCATAGGGAAGCCAGAGCAAAGAGTGTGGAGGCCACCACACACAGCCGCAAATCCAGCCCTGTGCTTCACAGCAGCTGTTCAGGGAGACATATCAGAGCAGGAAGTACCGATGAGTGGAGACGGCAGATATGAGGCTGGGGGGCAGAAGAGCATCCTGCAGTGGCCTCGAGCCCCCGCACCTGCTCACCTGGAAGCCTTGTAAGTCTGATCTATTTCTGCTCCCTTTGAGGACATTTGGTTTAGCTGCACAAAGTCTGGGCACTTAAAAAAAACTATTGCAGGATGGTTCTGATTCATGCATATATTTTATGCTAGCAGGCCACTCCTGGGATGGCCAGTCCTGATGTCTAAATAACAGAGTTGATTGTTTTACTGAAAGCATTATCTTCTAAGGCCTAAAGATGAGTGTATTTTAAAGGAGGATGGCCATAAACTCATCTAGCTGTGCACACAAAAATAATCGCAGAAACCTGACTGCTCTGGCTTCTGCTAACACTAGTGATTTGAAAGTAGATATGGTCTGTTGAGAGACATCCTATCTTTATTGAAACATTTTAATGATGGCTGATGAACCAGGCTGTCGGCGGTTCTCCACCCCCCAACCCAAATATGGCTAATATGCCCAGTGCCTAAGCATGGGGGTTGCTTTTTTTAGATAGATTAGATGTTCTCTGACCACAGAAACAGCTTCTGTCTGCTAGAAGCAGGGTGCAATGTGTGCTGCTGTTAGGAGCCACACAAATTTGCTGTTGCCTTGGCAGTATGGAAGGGAGCTGCGCTTGCTTTCGGATGTGCCTGCATGGGACTGCAGTGTTTGGACAACGGTAGGCTGCTTCCTCTGCAGCCAGAGCACATTTGGACTAAAACAGCGGTGGAAGAGGGACTGGGGGAGCATGTGAAAAGGGAAAGATGTGCAGCAAAGGCCTTTACATCTCTGCTTTATTTTCAGGCCTCACTTTTTGTACCCAACCATTTGAGCACCGAGAAAGCAGAACATGGGTTTGTCTTATGAGGTAGCAGCACAGGCAGCTTATCTTATCAGTCCATCGGCCCTTCTAGCCTATTCTGTCAACACTGACTGGCAGCAGCTTCCCAGGATTTCAGGGAGAGGACATTCCCAGATCTGCCTGGAGATCCCAGGGCAATGGACCTGGGAGCATAGCCTGTGCTCAGCCTTTTAAGTCAGGGGTGCAGCCCCTCACGCCTGCGGGGCAAATCCAGCCTGGGGCTCCGAGATGGTCAAGCCCCCTTCTCCAGCCTCACCACTTTCCCCCAACCATGAGTCATTTGGTGGCTTCCTGGCTTCTGTGCACTTTCTACACTCACTCAGTGCTCAGTTCCTGGCAGTAAGAGCTTCCACCCATCCTGGATTCCCCTTTTTGTCTTCATCCACACCCACCCCTGGAATGCAGCCGGTGAGAGGCCCCCAAGCTGAAAGGAGTTCACCATCATAAGGGGATGTGAGGAGTTCCAACAGGATCTCTCCAAGGTGGGATAATGGGCATCGACATGGCAAATGCAGTTCAGTATCAGCAAGGGTAGAGTAATGCATATTGGGGTTCAAAACAAACAAACCCAACCTCAAGCATTGGCTGACAGAGTCTGAGCTAGCAGTGACTGAGCAAGAAAGGGATCTTGGGATAGTACGGGGCATTTCAATAGAAATGTCAGGCCCGTGCTCAGATGCTGTGAAGAAGGCAAACTCCATGCTAGGCATAATTAGGAACAGAATAGAAAATAGAACTGCCAGGATTTTACTCCTCTTATACAAATTTATTTATTTATTAAAACATTTTTATGCCGCCCCATTCACCAAATCCTTGGTATGGTACAACCAGAGCCTTTTGTGTCATAGAACGCACTGGAACAGAGTTCTGGCACCTTTTTTCAACAGATTTTCCAAGTTTTGAAAGTAACTTTTGAAAATTTGATGTTTGGTCCACATGGATTTGAATCGCCCTGTCAAGCGTAGCAGGTCGGCGGCAAAATCATTAAAATGGTGCGTGCGGGCTGCTTGTGTGTCAAATCCGATGCATGCATACTTGGTCTGCGCTGGTTGTGATGGCGCTGCTTGGCTTGTGATCGGTCGTGTGGTCGCGTGCTGAGTGCTTACTGCGGGCCGCGACTGTTATGTTTCGTTACACAACTGATGGGTGTGGGTGTGTGTACAGTGATTGACTACATGAGAAAGGTAAATAATTTCATGAGTTCCGGCACCTTTTTTCTCACAAAAAAAAACCACTGGGTACAACTGCACTTAAAATGATGCGTTCAGTTCTGGTCACCTTACCAGAAAAAGGACACTACTGAGTTGGAAAAAGGGTAAAAAAAATATCAGGGGGCTGGAGCAGCTCTCCTATGAGGAGCAGCTACAACAACTGGGACTGCACACGCTTGAGAAAATTGCAACATTTTTCTCCCTCTTCCATAACATTTGAACCTGGGATCATCTCATGAAGTGACTGGTAGAAGGTTTAGGTCAAACAAAAGAAAATACCTTTTCACAGAATGCATAGTTAAACTATGCAGTTTGTTGTCAAAGAAAGTGATGATGGCCACCAATTTGAATGGCGTTTAAAATGGATTGGACAGATTCATGGAGGAGGCGGCTTTTGGTGGTTACTAGACTTTCTGGTGGTGTGCTGCCTCCTTCCTCAGAAGGGCGAAGGCCTTGCACCCATCCTGCGTGAGCAATCCTGTGGCAGCTGGTCTGGCCACATATTGTGAGTATGGTGTGCTGAACCAGACGGACCCTTGGACTGATCCTGCACAGCTTTTC